GTGTGTACCAACCAGCATTTATAAGAGCAATTCTTACATAGTGTGTACGAGTTTGATGAATATATGACTATGAAAAAAATGTTTTGTTCCCGAGTCTGACTGCCTTGAAAAGTAATGTCTTGGAATCCTCTTGAACCAGTCGATAGATTGATGGAGTCCACTCCAAGAAACCTTCTTGGTGACAGATACAGTTTACAGGCACGGAATTATGGTGTGTTGGCCGTGTTATCATTAAATAGAAATTTGATATGAAGGTTCCTAAAGCATATGCTATGATCATGGCACTGTTACAAACCATCGTTCTTGAGGAGATTTACCCTCTTGAAACACATGTGAAGTACAAATGTTTCATGAAAGACTTGCAACTTAACATATCTCAAGTAGCTGAACATGAGGATGAGGAAGAAAGATGGACATAATTGGTAACAATTCAGGCTAAGTTTGGATCACCTGCTTCACATTGCTACATGAGAGTTAGTAACCTGTTATGAACAACTATCAGCATACCTGACTTGACTAGCCACATGATCCGGAATATATTTTCATGTTATAATGTGGAATGATAATAGAAGTTGACTTGGCTGACAAATAAAGACCATGAGTGAGTGGTTGAGCAGGGTTTAACACTGCTTTGAGGGAGCACGGGTGGCCCAGTCGTCTAAGGCGCTGCGATTTGCTGTGCAGAGTTGCGTCCCTTGGGCACGCCAGAAACCTATGATTGTGGGTCCGAATCCCGGTTCGCCCCGATTATGTTTCTAGGTTTGTCAGCACCATACCCGTGCTCGTGGGTTTCACCGAAGTGGTAAACGTCTGAGACCTGCATCACTTCGGGCTTTCCTCCCACATTAAGCTGACAAGCCGTGATGTAACTGAAATACTGTTAAAAGTGGTGTTAAATCCAACTCTCTAACACCACTTTGAACAGTATTCCAGTTACATCACAGTGTGGCAGTTTGTTGTCGGAGGAAAGCCTGAAGTGATGCAGGTCTCAGACGATTATCACTTTGGTGAAACCAACTAGCACATGTATGGTGATGACAAACCTAGAAACACATTTGGAGTTAGTTGATTGATTCGAACCCAATATGATAGTTTTTTTGGTGTGCCCAAGTGATGCAACTCTGCACAGCGGATTGTTGCTCACAGGGCTGGGCCACCTGGGCTTTACAAATAAAGACAACAAATAATTCATGTTTACAGCTCAGAATTTCATCTGTGTGTGTATGCATGGGGGTGTAGTAGCTATGATATGAATTCTTCCTCATTGAAAGTCACTATTTTCTTGAAAGCATTGGGAAGCATCAGGCAAATTGCAGTTTCCAAGATGTATTTGAAATTTGTCATTTCCATAATGTAGAAGCATTTGTCGGAAACAATGGTATGTTTTGAATGTAGGTTTAGAACACTTTACAAGATTAGAACACTTTAAAAGTGTTCTAACAGTGTTACATCATCAGAACGTGTGGAAATGTTCTTAATATGTTTGTGGAAATGTTCTTAATATGTTTGTTGAACGCTATTATTCTGGATCTTTCAGAACACATGGACATTCTAAAAGTTTTACATTCATGTGTTCTGTCCAGTGTTCAGAAGTGATTTTAGAGTGTTACACTAGGTCAACTTGTAATTCAGACACCAAGGTACAACAACAGCCACTCTGATCTACTACAGGAACACAAGACAACATCGTACAACAAAATTAAAGTCCCCTTGCTTCACTAATCGAACAAAGTACACCCTTAGGTCCTCATAGCATCAGGTGTCTAAATCCCCCCTACTACTGTGTATGCTCTTGCACAAGAGAATGAACCTGGTGACAGCTCAAAGTCTTCAACTGTTATCAGCGATAAATGTCATAGCTGTCAATTCTAATAAAATATCCACTGAACCGTGACATAACTTCGCATCATAAACTGCACAGGAGGATGGTGAATACATACAGGTGCAGGATTGTGTCAAACACCGAACACATCACTGACTTCCAAGTGAAGCTGCTTTCATTGCTTCTCTCTGCCAAGTGAGTTGATATAACAGAATGTAACACTTCACTGCATACCCTATACCTAATGATGGAGACACATCTAATTACTTGGATATATGACTTTATATTTCCCCATATCCCCATACCTTCCTTATCCTTTCATAGTGATAAACGACCATAGAAGGCTGCTGGAGTTTGAACTGGACTGAAGTTGCACTTGGATACACCCCTTCAACATTGTTGCAATAGGGTAGGAGGTGTATTTCCGAATGAGTAAGTGATATAGGTTTGACACTGCTTCAGACAGTGTTTCTGTTATATCATGGTGGCAGCCTGTTATGTAGACATGATTTGATTTTATTTGGAGGAAGAAGGCAGAATTATTTACTAAAACAAACTACATATGCTTCTCATTGTAGGAAACATGGTGTGCCCTTTTCTTGCAGACAGGTGTCCTAACAATACAGTTCATTATTTGTATATACATTATATGTATTTTTAAAAACATAATTGAGCAACTTTTTGGTTGGAAAAAAACATAATTGAGCAACTTTTTTGGTTGGACAAAATAATTGAGCTCCTGAACATCATAACTTATGGCAGTATCACACGAGTGGTATAAACCCTTATGAGTGACGCATAAAACCACACATTCCATGTGTGATACTGCCACAACAAACTGCCTATGTTTCAACCTGCCATTGTAAGAATTAATACAAATAAAAATTGATAGAAAACAGCTGATGTTAACTTGCACTATGTCACGTGATTTGCTTCGAAGCAGGGTACAAGGGAATAATTCTCCTGCTCAGAAATATGGTGGGATACATATTTTTTTATCAAGATCATGTGAACCAATCAGATCAACAATTTGACATGGAGGCAAGATAATAAAAAAATAACTTCTCATCTCAAAACAAATCCCCATGCCTGCTCCCCCTCCCCCCCGAAAACCAAATGGTTGCTCCCTTTAATGTGGGACAAAGCCAAAAAAGATGCAGATGGTAGACATTTACTGCCTTTAAATCCAGAAGCACTGGCAAGGTGCTGATAAACCATGAATAATAATCTGGAACAAATTTGTCATTTAGTGAATGAACTGGGTTTAAAACTGCTTTGAACAGTATTTTCAGTTATATTACTGCATCTCAGCATTTTGGTATCACGGAGTCAGGGGCTCGAACCAGCAACCTTCCTCTCTTTGGGCAGACACTCTACCCACTAGACCACAGAGACAGTCTGATCAGGGTGAATTGTGAAAAGAATCCATTATCATTGGTTTCTGGAATACAACTCTGCACAGATATTGTGGCACCTCAGATGACAGGGCCACTTGTGCCCACGCTCTGGCATTTGAACCCACGACCAACAGCTTCAGGGTCTTGTGTCACAAGGCAATTGCAGCTCCTTGAGTGTCGCAACTCCCTTAGTATAACACTAACTTAGGAGGGTCGTAATGCTACAATTGCTTTGTGTAACAGGAACCAGGCCATTACTCTGCAGTGCCTGAACTCATAGGGCCACCCATTCACATAAGTATTTGAGAAGTCCTGATCCTAATTATCACCCATGATCTCACTCCTTTCATTTATGGCATGCTTCATTCCAATTGATTGTCATTTTCATCGGAAAATGTTCATTTGATCTGTTTTCCACATAAAAGAACACAAGTAAGGGACAGATATATAGACTGCAGTAAGTGAGAAGGGAATCATATGCTGTGATGGTATCCAGTCTGAGACAGGCGAGATGCTGGTTAAAGGATATATAGTCTGCTGCGGAAACTGGATAATGTATGTAAACTTACCTCAGGTGCCCCCTCATTATAACACATATACATTTGGACATGCATTGATTGCTTTATAGTGAGGATAATCTGCATGAATGTGACAGAAGTTTTCATAGTAATGTCAGATTCATAGTAATATTTTTTAAATAAACTTCTAAGTTATTAAAGGGCAATAAAGAGGAGATACATTTAGCGTTATAATGAGGGGACATCAAAGTAGGTAATCTCAGGTACCATTGTGATTTTGTTGAGGCTACGCAGTTTCAGGTATACTACAAATAAATTGCTATCAGAAATCATTTTATTTACAACATACTTATTTTGGGACATCCTTCTAACATTAATTCATTTCCTTTTCATCACTTAAGTGTTTCATCAGGGAGTAAAAACATGAAACTTTTCTTGATACTCCAAAAGCCATATACATAGTTTGAGCAGACAGTAAATTAAAAATGGCTTAACTGCTACGGGGGTCATAGATAATGACAACATCAGGGAAGGCTTGTGGCATGTTTTGACAATACAGTGCTCTGTGGCTATGAAGTTGGCAGATAGCCTGTCGACAGTGTGCAAATGATCAAAGGACATTTAACACTTAAGAGAAGGGGAAATGCACTCTTTGTGTTAAAGTAAGCATATCGGTCCACAGAACATGGTCGATTCACTATTATGTACCCTGACACAGGTTTTATCATATCTAAAGAAAGGATTTCACACCATTAATGGGGCCTCTGTGTGTTTCATTTTACTCACCACTTCTTAATGTTATTCCCCACAGGGTAAACAGGCCATTTTTTAACTAATATAATTCTAAACTGAATGGGAGAACATAATTTATTACGTAAAATATGACAACTACCTCTTCATAAACCAAAGCATTGTATGCAACCATATCAATGACAACACACAATTTCTTTACATGATTTTCCTTGGCCTATGAAATAAATAGATTTAAGAATTTGCTGTAAAATAGAAATACCAAAATGTATTCTATTGACTCATTACACTTCAATGAAAAATATTCTGTTCATTAATATAGAAAAACTTAACTGTTCTTGATGTTTTTGCATTTATTTTGGTTCTTGCTAATTCCAAAATATGATTGCTTTAAATTAAAAGATTCAGAGTTAAAATAAGAAAAGAAAATATCAACATATCAAGACAAACATTAATTAACAGAAATAATTTTCCTTGAAGTGTCATTCTGAGAAAAAGAAAAAATAATTTTACCAGTTCCAAGAGCAGAAAACTGAAGGTAAGCCAGGAGATGGACTCCATCCCTTGATTGGCAGATACTTTACACATCCACTGTCGTCACTGTCGAAGCTCACACATACACATCCATCGAATGACAATCCCTGTGTTCCAGAATAGAGACCAGTCATCCCCTGGGGTAGAGGTGTGAGGGACAGAGGGTGGGGGAGGCAGGGGGACACAAGAAATTGGAAAGCTGTTAAACACAGGTTTACTTCACGAGTTGTCCCATTCAATCAGTCCTCATCACACCCTTGCACATCCACTCTCCTGAACCAGAAAAACACCCTCTGCCAACATGCTTTTAACCAGACAGGATCAACACTAAAACTCAACCATCATTTCTTATAAGAATCTGATCAAAAGATAAAATGCCTATATCACAAGGTACATAGGACTTTTTTTATCATACAAGGTGTTATAAGTTTTATCAACCAGGTGCATTATGATCTATATCACACGGTGGAGGATGAGTTAAGGTGTGTTATCCATCTGACCAGTCTCTCTGTCCCACACCCTTCTTGACCACTGGCCACCTGTCCAGGTGTCTGAACCACCCCTGAGCATGCCTGTCTGCAAGAGTCCAGCTCTGACCACTGGTGAAGCACGAGACTTGACAGACATGGTTCTAACACACACAGCTAAAAACTACTGACCAATCAGGTAGCCTCATATCCAAAAGACCCGTTGTGAGTAGATGAAATGGTGAGCAGCCAGTGTTGAATCTCACAGCATTAAGGGGGCTCGAGACTATGGGAGAGGCTGAAGAGACTCGACACACTCTTTGGATCAGTCAGTCACTGCAATGAAGCAGGCCGGGATGGCTCTCATACCTATAATAGGCCTATATAGTTACACACAGGCATCCAGGAGGTGTAATTTAGAGGGTAGTTTTAACATCTCTTATGGAGTCATTTCACGTCAGATATATCTAAAAAGAGATGGATATATCCAATGCAAAGAAATATTGCAGTAAAAACTTATTTGATTCATTTCAACATGAAAAAGATATCAATTCAGAACTGTGTATACTCATAACAAAGTAAAGTGTTATTTAAGACTATTCTGGGATAGTTTATGCAAAAAATTAAGCAAAGGAGCAAATTATAAATACAAAATGAATACAACATAAGAAATGAAAGGTTTTAATTCAGATTTTTTGGTCTTGTTTCAGCAACATCTTTTTTGCAGATATGCTATCACTTCATGCCCGATTTATTTCAATTACAAAAAGACATTGTTATCAGTAGGCAATACCCTATTCCAGTCAAACAAGGCTGAAACTTCAGTATTACATTTTTAAACTGAACCCTGTCTCAAATCACTATTATTCATCTTCCACTAGTCTTTCGTTATGCCCTTAAAAACAGAAACTAAATAGAATTACACCACCCATCTCAAGTTGTAAATTGTATTTACAATACAAAATGTCTTCTATCATCAACTCAAAAAATATTTGTCAATCCTTTTATGTCAACAGTGGTACCTAATTAATGCTGCCACATTTGAACAGGCGTTCTATTTTGATAACGAACCTTTAGCCCATCTATATTAAACGGGGATCTCAATATCATTTTCAGTTTATCTTGAGACCAATTTCTCCGCATATTAAATTGTCTTTGGTTATAGCTTCAAACTCAATCACTGTAAAGGACTCAAAGCCAATGATAAGTTAGTAACATACATAAGGAACCCATTGACTAAAGTCAAAGACCAGAGGTCAACACTGACCCTGGGAAAGGGTTCAACGAATAAATATATTCAGCCCTTGTACTAATTGTCAGCACACCAATTCAGTTCTAGCAACTTGTGAATGTGAGTCTTCCTTATGACCTGTGGGACCTGGACTGTTACATAACTGCCCTTATCTACACACAACTCTGTGGTAGTGACCTCTTGTACTGGAAGTCACCACAGACATGTCCTTGTTGCTCTGCAATTCTTCTCCTTCCAGTAACACAGCTTCAGATTTAACAACTTCAACGTATCACATTTCCTAATGACATCGGCCTTCAGAAGAATCATTTTGAAATATAATCGATTTATAATTTCTGGCTCAATACATAAGTTAAAGAACACCCAATTCTTTCCATATCACTATAGGTAATCTGTTGTGGCAGATAAACTATAGTAGTATAAAAAAAATAGGGTGTTCTTTTACTTCTTTTGAGTAGTATATATTTATGACTAAGTGTAAAACGGTGTTAAGTTATTTTCTTTCAAGAGTTGCAGAAAAAAGTGATGAAAGAAAAGTGAGAAACATATTTAAACCACATTGCTTCCTTTCATATGTCTAGTAAATTCCCTGAAACTCTGTATCTGTCGGAGTTATTTGGTTGAGAGCTGTCATAACCTATGGTAGCTGACTGTTGTATTAAACAGAGTATGGCATGTCAATAAACACCTGCATATTCAGCTTGACAGAAGTTTCCATTTTAGTTTGTGAACATGGAACATTCTGAATGGCACTGTCTGCTTTCATTTTTAAAAAGAATTTCACCATTGGTCACACAGATGTGTTAAGAGTACAAGGGAAGACTTTTCTTTCAGTTGGGTCACAGATTCCACTGACCCTTTACATGAAGAGTGGGAAAAAACTAAACATGCTAAAACTGAAAAGCAGAATTATTTTTATTCCTTCACATGTTAACATATGTGTTCATCACATAACAATTAATTGCGCAAAACAATACTTAATCTACAAGACAATATGTTACGATGGGTTAAACAAGTTTAACTACTACTTAATTAACACTGCACAATTAGAAACATACGGTTTATTTGGGGAGAACAAAAACAAATATCTCTAAGTATTAAATACCTGGTATATTATGTTTTTGTCCCACCTACCAAGCAATATAAAACTCTGGCCTAACTACACTTGTGATGTGTAATATGCATTAGGGCTGAAACTATTCTGACAGGAAGATGAACAATCATGGACAAAAAAAATATACTCACTGCCAAAAGAAACATGAATACTATACATGTTCGTTAATAAATGAGGGGAGGTGAAATGGGGTTTAACGTTGCGTCCAAGATTATTGCACTTATATAGCGACGTGCATGCACGTGTGTGTGTGTGTGTCTGCTTGTACTAGTCCGGACCAATGGCAATTTATAGTGCTAGCTCACTGAGATACCATGTCGCAGTTTAACATGAATATCCCACTCAGACACAGTATACTGACTCCGAGCCGACCAGTCCTTGTTTTAGCCCCTTAATGCCGAGCGCCATACAGGGTAACAACAAGTACCATCTTTTAACGTCTTTTGGTATGACACGGTCGGGGATTGAACCCCGGACCTTCCGCTCTCCGGGCAGACGCTCTACCACTAGACCATGGAGGCTGTTTGTTAATAAATGAAGAATTACTTATATTCAAGAGATATTAGACTGGTTCAATGTACAAACGAACAAACTGTTATGTTGCGTGAACGACGCTCATGAGCATCACATGCGACGTCATAGATCCATGACTCGACATACACCATTTGTCTTGTACAGGATTAGGGTGTAAAGGTTGGAAATCATGTGCAGCTTATCATAAGAATAAAGACACTTTGTGGTAAGATTTGAGTGATTGTTAGTTTTGTTATTAAGCAGTACACATTAGAAACATCTCTTCTTAACAAACATACTTCTCTGTAAGATAAGATGAGATAAGATGAGATAAGATTTATTGCAGAAACATTCCATTATGGGACAGATGCAAATTTTGAAAATGACAAAACATTATGATTTATATGTACATATATAGATATACATAATTTACATTCCTGTAGACACAAAAAACAATCGTTATGACATATTTGATGATATTATTATACATAAAATGCCAACATTTGATCAAGATCAAAGGGTATTTATTTGATGGCTTCATTATTTGACAGGATGTAGTGAAATAATTTGTTTTCATGACTGGACATTTACATTTTGTGTGGATAATTTTCCAAAGAGTATTTTTCTTTCTTGAGTGTGTTTTGTACGGTGAAGTAGGTAGTGTTTTTCATCATCAGTGGTTGAACATGTAGAGCATAGTCTCTGATGTAGTGGGGTTGGTGGCTTTGTATGTCTTCCAAGTTCAATATTTAATTTATGGTTACTTAATCTTAGTTAAGAAAGGCGCACTTGATATTTTCTTATTTTACAGTGACTGAGATTTTAATGAGATTTTTTTGTTTCATTTTTAACTATCCTGTATGTCCTTAGTTTGTTTCCTGTGCCTCGAGTTGTGTGTTGCTTTGCTGACACCTAACATGGATTTTAGAAATCTGAGCTGCAATTGTTCAGGAGGATTGATGCCATACCCCATATTTCACTATTATATAAGATTACTGGCTCGATTAATGTTTTAAATATTTTGCAAGCAAGAGCTATAGGTATATCTTGGTTGAAAATAGTAGAATGAAGCTTGTGTCAGGCCCCTAGGCCTTTTTTCAGAGAGGTTTAGCACTATTTTAAAGTTTTTACCATTTGCTATAATACTAATATTTACGGCCTGGTAGCCCCAAATGTCTTTGGCACAGACTATTAGTAACCAGCTACCAAAATTGTTAAAATATGTCACGTTCCTGGACCCAAAATTGGTGGCTAACATATGTGATTGGTTGCAGAAAGAGGGAATGACTTCACAATTGCATCACAGTAGGCAGGTAAATGAGCCTGGACAAACCAGTGGTCGATAGAGTGAACACTTCAGCAGTGAGTACTCCAGTGAGTGGTGGTGTGAACACTTCAGTGGGTGATGGAGTGAACACTTCAGTGGTAGACGGAGTGAACACTTCAGTGGGTGATGAAGTGAACACTTCAGTGGGTGATGAAGTGAACACTTCAGTGGGTGATGGAGTGAACACTTCAGTGGGTGATGAAGTGAACACTTCAGTGGGTGATGGAGTGAACACTTCAGTGGGTGATGGAGTGAACACTTCAGTGGGTGATGAAGTGAACACTTCAGTGGGTGATGGAGTGAACACTTCAGTGGGTGATGAAGTGAACACTTCAGTGAGTGATGGAGTGAACACTTCAGTGGGTGATGAAGTGAACACTTCAGTGGGTGATTCAGTTAAAACTTCAGTGGTAGACGGAGTGAACACTTCAGTGGGTGATGAAGTGAACACTTCAGTGGGTGATGAAGTGAACACTTCAGTGGGTGATGGAGTGAACACTTCAGTGGGTGATGAAGTGAACACTTCAGTGGGTGATGGAGTGAACACTTCAGTGGGTGATGAAGTGAACACTTCAGTGGTAGACGGAGTGAACACTTCAGTGGGTGATGAAGTGAACACTTCAGTGGGTGATGGAGTGAACACTTCAGTGGGTGATGAAGTGAACACTTCAGTGGGTGATGAAGTGAACACTTCAGTGGGTGATGGAGTGAACACTTCAGTGGGTGATGGAGTGAACACTTCAGTGGGTGATGGAGTGAACACTTCAGTGGGTGATGAAGTGAACACTTCAGTGGGTGATTCAGTTAAAACTTCAGTGGGTGATGGAGTGAACACTTCAGTGGTAGACGGAGTGAACACTTCAGTGGGTGATGAAGTGAACTCTTCAGTGGTAGATGGAGTGAACACTTCAGTGGTCGATAGAGTGAGAGTGACTGTTTAACAGTATTCCAGTTATATCAAGGCATGTCAACTTAATGTAGGACGAAGCTTGGTCTTATATGTTCACCAGTTTGGTTAAACCCACTCCCCTTGGCGATAGTCTGAATAATACAGTATCAGGATATATGTTGCATTGATGTCAGAAATGTCGACCTTTCAAATAACAGTATGAGCTTTTATAATGGTGATATTTCTGCTGATGCAGTAATTCTTAAGTGAATATTGTCCATATCACCTGATGTCATTTTAGAAAAACTTTCACTTTGAGTCTTGATAATCAGCTGAATACACTTTGGTTACACAAACTGTTGCATGGTGAATTTGATAAATTATAACAGCATAAAATGTATAATCAACAAAACAAGAGTGAATTTAAGTACCTGGATGGCTGCCAACAGAGTGGGGAGTCCAGGTTGAAAACTTTCTTGTTGCAATTGGATTAAACTGGTTTAATATGTAATGTATGAACCTCTTGGAAACAAGCATCCATCAATTACATGTCTAATGCAGCAAATGCTTAACATTCACCCGATGCTCGTCTCGCTGTACAGTTTATCACCTCACTAATTGACTTTTCCATATTCATGCTTTCAACTTCAGCGTATAAACCTATTCTGCAAGTAATGGTCTGTCTGGCTGTAATTATGCGCTAATGATTCTCTGTATGTAGATAATAAATGAACTGCTACGGAACTCCTTTGTCTTGGGGGCTGTCAGCAGGCCTACAAGCCACTGAACATGCACCAGACTTCATTGAGTGAGCCAGTGCAGATACCGAAGGACCACCATCGGATCACACATCTGTCGAGAAATTGAAAAACTCAAGGTCACATAAATTCTCACACTGTTCTTAAAATTAAGCATGTGAAAGAATCTAAATAAGTTGAGCCGGTGAGTATGTTTTTATTAATTAATAAAATAAGTCAATGCTCAGTGTTTAGGTTAAAGTGAAAGCTTGTAATAAAAAGGATGACTTGATAAATGTTTTAGTATTACAAAAGTTTATCAAAATACTAAACTGAAATAATAAACATTTACTTAAGCTTTCACACTTGTGAACATAATATACTTTAAAAAGATGGATATTTGGAAATAATTTCATACTTTAAAGTTTACACTGTTTCTTTCATGCTGATTGGCTGAATGGGTAGTCTTGTGATCTGATATTGGAGTTCACACACCTGTGAACAGACAAGAAAGTTCTGAAGAAAGAACATTTTGTTGTGTCATTGATCGTGTGAACTTTTGATGGAACTACTTTCCGGGGTTTCCCCAAACTCTCGATAGGTGTTTACGATCAACTCGTTTTTCTATTTTTTAATCCCTGCATTTATCAGCAATATAATTAATTTAGTATTTTTGCCTGGTCTTGTAACATTTTATCTGACTTTAAAACAAATAAATGCTTTGGTTCTGGTGTTCGATGTCGTCTGCTACATAAAACAACATGGATTGTCCTCACAGTGATTTGGATATGGAATGGCTATCTATGAATACTAGTAACGCAGGAGAAGAAAATGAAATCAGCAAAATTACTGAAGTAACAGAAACTGATGTATTGAGCGATATTGACTTTGACGCCTTGTTGTCAGAAATGACAGGAATCTAGCAGTGTGAAGTCAATTGCGAATGACAACAATGTTGGAAGCCCTATGTTGTACCCTGCTCAGATGTGGCCACCGACACAGATCAAAGTGACTGCTCCTGATCAATCCCAAACTAAAACCCGATTCACTATTGTATCGAAAAAAACACTAAAATAGCTCAGAAAATGTTCCATGGTAAGCCAAATAAACTTAACCTACTAGCTCTAAAAAAATATGACATAAAAAGATAAGGAAAGAAACTTAAGTTCTTAAAAAACAAACATGTCTCCCTGTTTCACCGATTGATCATCGGAGACGAGAAAATCTCCGTAGACTGGATTACTATTCTGGTTTCTGAGTTGGCCGATCTTCTAGGCAGAGAAGTGGCGGCACTTGAAGGATGGGGCACAGAACTCAAGCTAGCATCAGGTCATACGCATCTCAACGGACAAGAAACACCAGCTAAGCAAAGTATTACAGCAAACACAACAAATCCCAAACTCCAAATATCACACACACTGACGTTAAAAATTAACACAAAAAACACAAGTTTCGGAGCAATCCATTCAATCCCCACCAGTCCATTCCACATCATCCGAATTGGTTTGCAATTATCCAAACACAAGCAACACCTTCACAAATCAGTCATATTCCCAATTTGCTAGTGCCATGGGAAGGTTCATGCCTCAGGGTGTTTTCCATAACTCTGCCATAAACTTTCATCCTCATGCTCCCGTTTGAGTCGAAATGCACCTTAGTCCTAGCAATCTAGGCCATTTTTTCACTCCACTTGGAACAAATTGCAACAGAATTTATTTTACCACAATGCATTTCTACAAGGTCCCGAAAACAACATACTAAAAGTCCCAAGCAATCCTATTTGGGGAAATATCTCTATTTGTATAATCCAATATGGCCACCAATTATCAATTTATCTTCCATATTTCAGATGAGGTTCAATGTTTTGATGAAAAAAGCATGTGTTGTGTTGTGAAATAGACATATCATGTTTCTAAAAAGATATTCACAACAACTGAACGTTTTCGACCATTGACAAATCTGCAAAAGTTCAAGATGGCCGCCAATTTCAAGATGGCCTCCAGGTTTCCTAAATGTGTGTTCACTGTTGAATCTTTTAACTCAAAAACAGTGTGCTAGGACTTATATGCATATAACTTGGCACACTAACTCACTGAAGTATAGTTAACATTTTTAGATAGAAACTCCGTCACCAGCGCCCCCTGGTGGCCCAAAATTCCAAGATGGCTGCCAAGAGTTTGATGGCTAGATGCAGAATATCAATATGGTTTCTGATGACATATTTCAGTGATTTGAACTTGGGAATGGTCGTAGATATTGCCGTCGACGCAGCTGATTCTTCGATACCCCGAGCGGGGCCCGTCGTACTCTCTGGTGTTTATCACCTCAGATTAGATGGCTCTACTGCGTTACGCTTTCGTTCTATTTCGGTTACCTATTCAGGCGTTTCCTTTTTGCATCGACTCTTGTTTCCTGAAGACAGGAATGGTCGTAGATGTTCCGGTCATCACTTGTATGCGGTGCGGATTTATCTGACCTTGAGGGTTTATTATGGATCACATCTGAAGGTATGCTCACCGGCCATGCCGTCTGATAAAGATGCAAAATGGAGAGTAATGCAGGATAAGTTAGAAAATAAAAGTAAAATCTAAAAATGTTTTACATTTCTATACTTATCCTGCATTACGAAGTCTAAGTGCCCTCCCTTCGCTACGCTGCCTCCCCACGAAGTTTCAGATGTTATGTTTAAAGCAGTTATGTGTTTTGATGTGACGTCATGACTTACGGGTCAAATGCCGACTGTGAGAGGGCGCTGCTTCCTGTACTGGTTGGGACAACTTTCTTCAGTAGCTTGATGTCACACAGTTCGTCTCTCTGTCAAAAGACAGCAGTAAATGCAATACGGAATAATGCAGGATAAGTAAGAAGTTTATGTTGATGTTTACATATTTTCAGGTAATGTTGCATATATTCAAAGAACTATTTTTCTTTGCATAACGGAGTATGAGTGGGGAAATGTAATTGACCGAGAGCCAGCAAATACTGTCAAAATAACATTGTAGCAATGTTCTTCAGCAAAACCAGAGAACTTCAAAGTAGGAAATCATTGTTACAATGTCACCCTCCCCTCCCCCCCATACTTGATGAGTATGTCACCCTCCCCCCTACTTGGCGAGTGTCACCCTCCCCACTACTTGGTGAGTGTCACCCTCCCCACTACTTGGTGAGTATGTCACCCCCTCTCTACTTGGTGAGAATGTTGCCCTTCCCTCCCCACTACTTGGTGAGTGTCACCCTCCCCACTACTTGGTGAGTGTCACCCTCCCCACTACTTGGTGAGTATGTCACCCCCCCTCTACTTGGTGAGAATGTTGCCCACCCCTCCCCCCTGCTTGGTTAGTATGTCACCCTCCCCCCTACTTGGTGAGTATGTCACCCTCCCCACTACTTGGTGAGTATGTCACCCTCCCCACTACTTGGTGAGTATGTCACCCCCTCTCTACTTGGTGAGAATGTTGCCCTTCCCTCCCCCCTACTTGGTTAGTATGTCACCCTCCCCACTACTTGGTGAGTGTCACCCTCCCCACTACTTGGTGAGTATGTCGCCATTCCCTCCCCCCTACTTGGTGAGTATGTCACCATCCCCACTACTTGGTGAGTATGTCACCCTCCCCCCTACTTGGTGAGTATGTCACCCTCCCTCTACTTGGTGAGAATGTCACCTCCCCACTACTTTGTGAGTATTTCACCATCCCCACTACTTGGTGAGTATGTCACCCTCCCCACTACTTGGTGAGTGTCACCCTCCCCACTACTTGGTGAGTGTCACCCTCCCCACTACTTGGTGAGTATGTCGCCCTCTCCTCCCCACTACTTGATGAGTATGTCACCCTTCCCTCCCCCTACCTGGTGAGTATGTCACCCTCCCCACTACTTGGTGAGTATGTCACCCTCCCCACTACTTGGTGAGTATGTCACCCTCCCCCCTACTTGGTGAGTATGTCACCCTCCCCACTACTTGGTGAGTTTGTCACCCCTCCTCTACTTGGTGAGAATGTTGCCCACCCCTCCCCCCCTACTTGGTTAGTATGTCACCCTCCCCCCTACTTGGCGAGTATGTCACCCTCCCCACTACTTGGCGAGTATGTCACCCTCCCCTCTACTTGGTGGTGAGTATGTCGCCCTTCCCTCCCTCCTACTTGACGAGTATGTCGCCCTCCTCTCCCCCCTACTTGGTGAGTATGTCGCCCTTCCCTCCCTCCTACTTGACGAGTATGTCGCCCTCCTCTCCCCCCTACTTGGTGAGTATGTCACCCTCCCCACTACTTGGTGAGTTTGTCACCCTCCCCACTTCTTGGTGAGTATGTCACCATCCCCACTACTTGGTGAGTATATCGCCCTCCCCTCCCCCCTACCTGATGAACATGTTCCCCTTACATTCCTTTTGAACATGTCCCCCCCACCCCCCCCACCACCATTTGGTGAAAATGTCACCCTCCCCACAACTGGTAAATACTGTTAATTAAGTCATCAGTGAATAAATTTAAGAAGCTTTAACTAAAAGAGGTTAAAGACAATTTTATTTCTACAATGGATGACTCAGGGATCAAATATCAGGGATTAAATATCAAGGACAACAAACTGAAGTCTTAATTTCACACAAGAAATTACATTTAGCATTTGAATCCCATCACACAAATTCATTCATACCAATCTGATTCAATCAGACATGTTGAATTCACAGTAATAAATTAAATTTATCTGTTCCTTTAAAACTCAATAATCTGATGTCACTGAGAAAAAGAAATCATAACTCATTGGAATTGACAATTCATTGGACATAGACAGTGAATGATCATTTTCATGATCAACCAAATTAAGTTATCTGCATTAAATTAGACAAAACCTATTTTACAGGACAGGCTACTAAGAATTTTGGTCAGCTACTTGGATACATTTGACATAACACAGCTAAGAGAATTTTGTAAACCTCTGAGGTGGTGAGGGGTAGATGTAAGCAAGGGCTGGGGGTGGTGGGGTGGGGTGGGGGGTTAAGGTAAGGGATGAGAATGAGGGGTGGGTGTGAGGGTTGGGTGTGAGGGTTGGGTGTGAGGGCTGGGTGTGAGGGCTGGGTGTGAGGGCTGGGTGTGAGGGCTGGGTGTGGGGGCTGGGTGTGAGGGCTGGGTGTGAGGGCTGGGTGTGAGGGCTGGGTGTGAGGGCTGGATGTGAGGGCTGGGTGTGAGGGCTGGGTGTGAGGGCTGGGTATGAGGGCTGTGTTAGGGCTGGATGTGAGGGCTGGGTGTGAGGGCTGGGTGTGAGGGCTGGGTGTGAGGGTTGGGTGTGAGGGCTGGATGTGAGGGCTGGGTGTGATGGCTGGATGTGAGGGCTGGATGTGAGGGCTGGGTGTGAGGGTTGGGTGTGAGGGCTGGATGTGAGGGCTGGGTGTGATGGCTGGATGTGAGGGCTGGGTGTGAGGGCTGGATGTGAGGGCTGGGTGTGAGGGCTGGGTGTGATGGCTGGATGTGATGGCTGGGTGTGAGGGCTGGATGTGAGGGCTGGGTGTGAGGGCTGGGTGTGAGGGCTGGGTGTGAGGGCTGGATGTGAGGGCTGGGTGTGAGGGCTGGTTGTGAGGGCTGGATGTGAGGGCTGGGTGTGAGGGCTGGTTGTGAGGGCTGGGTGTGAGGGCTGGGTGTGAGGGCTGGTTGTGAGGGCTGGATGTGAGGGCTGGGTGTGAGGGCTGGGTGTGAGGGTTGGGTGTGAGGGCTGGATGTGAGGGCTGGGTGTGATGGCTGGATGTGAGGGCTGGGTGTGAGGGCTGGTTGTGAGGGCTGGATGTGAGGGCTGGGTGTGAGGGCTGGGTGTGAGGGCTGGGTGTGATGGCTGGGTGTGAGGGCTGGATGTGATGGCTGGGTGTGAGGGCTGGATGTGAGGGCTGGGTGTGAGGGCTGGATGTGAGGGCTGGGTGTGAGGGTTGGGTGTGAGGGCTGGGTGTGATGGCTGGGTGTGAGGGCTGGATGTGAGGGCTGGATGTGAGGGCTGGGTGTGATGGCTGGATGTGATGGCTGGGTGTGAGGGCTGGGTGTGATGGCTGGGTGTGAGGGCTGGATGTGAGGGCTGGGTGTGAGGGCTGGGTGTGAGGGCTGGGTGTGAGGGCTGGATGTGATGGCTGGTTGTGAGGGCTGGATGTGAGGGCTGGGTGTGAGGGCTGGGTGTGAGGGTTGGATGTGAGGGCTGGGTGTGAGGGCTGGATGTGAGGGCTGGTTGTGAGGGCTGGGTGTGAGGGTTGGATGTGAAACATTTCCTGCAATCAACACGAATGTCACTGACCCACTTTTACAAATATGGAAATGTCATAAAACAAAAAAGATGACATCAGACGACGTGATAATGGCCCATTGTTAAGCAATATGAGGGCATTATCAAGTTAAGTGGCCCTCTCATTTCTGGTACCGGTCCGGTTTAATGATAATTCTATCCATTTTAGCTTTAAGAACCCAACAGACATGGATCAGATGGTGGAGGTTTGTTATTTGTATATTTTATGTTTAGCACAGATAACTTGTTAATAACTGAAAGTGGTTGCAATGTTTCTTGAATTTTTGTGCCAAAAATAGCTACAAAATGCGGAAACATGCACAATTAATGGTACCTGATGAAATGCTATTAGTGAACAATGTGTTTGTTTGTTTGTTGTTGAACACCTCACTCAGCAATATTTCAATACATGATGGGGAGGACTTTAAATACTTGAGTCTGGACCAGACAATGCAGTCAACCAAGTAAGTGGGCCTGACCACCCGATCCTCTCAGTCACCTCTTCCTGGATCAAGGATATATGGAATAATGGGTTGGTCAGGTAACCGGAAACAAGGAGGGAGGGATTCATCACACCCGGGTGCACTGTGTGAAACTCTACTCACTCACTGCCATTTACACAGCATGGACAGCAGGACAGCATGGCATTTTAACCAGCTTGGTTCAGTTCCCTAAAGGGCTAAAAGTTCAGTTCATTCTCAGTGTTTCCTACCATTTGGTATTGTTTCAATATTACGTTTGTTTGTTTGTTTTTTAATGCCGCACTCAGCAATATTCCAGATATATGACTGCAGTCTGTAAATAATCGAGTCTGGACCAGACAATCCAGTGATTAACATCATAAGCATTGATCCATGCAATTGGGATACGATGACATGTATCAACGAAGTCAGCGAGCCTGACGACCCGATCCCGTTAGTCGCCTCTTACAACAAGCATTGTGACCTTGTACAGCAAGCATGGGCGGCTGAAGAACTATTCTACCCCGGATCTTCACGGGTCTCAACATTATGTAAATCAGTGTACAGCAAACAAGCAGTGCACCTCTTACTCATAGCATATGAAAGAACAGGACAGCAAAACATGAAGATTAAATTTCATCTACGTTACCCCACCAGGCCAAATGAGCTAAGGGAATGGAATATTCTTGAATGGTCTCCACCAGGAGACTGATCTTCCTGACATGGCCTCCATGACCCTTGATCTGCACCATGAGGGAAACCAATCTTGCCAGCCAATCGGGAGACAATGAATGAAAATAGCACAGGTCCTCACTCCTGCTGAGCTGAAGTCTTCGGGATTAATCCCTTCAATTGTCTCTTAATGACTGTCAACTGTGCCACACACACAAGTTATTTCCCCCAAGAAGGATTACAATGATGACTTACTCGACCTACAGAGATTGAGAGACACTGAGTTCAGTTCTTAACTCCCCTGTGATAATCGAAGAGCTTATATCTGTTATTTTAATATATAACTTTTTGTCAGGCAATGTTGTCAAAATATATGTATAGTATCATTGAGCTATAAGGGCAGTCATGTAGGATATTCTACTTCATGTATATTTACATTCACTTTTTATAAAGTATTTTTCTGGTCAAACATTCAAAACAATGTAATCTAAACTAGTATTTAATTTATTTTTAAACTAATATTCAACTTGTTCCTACTTTTTAAGATGTTGATTTGACTATTCATATAACAGAATACCTTATAGTACTATACCAGTAACTACTCAACAATTAACTGGGATACTGACATTTCATATTGAGACATAACAATTACATTATTGAACTGTGTATCTGTGTTAAATCAGCTTGAATAAGGTTGCTCATGCTCTAGTTCCATTGTATATATGAATACTATTTGTAAAACATATTGGAGCAATCAGTCAGATCCAAGGCCCCACCTGGATACCTCCAAGCCCTATCAAAAGTTTAGTACATACTGAATCTGGTATGTGTATGTCAGAATGACCTTAAAAAAGCTCCCTATTACAAACATGGATTTAAGAAGTAAAATGTCCAAGCCAAACAAGACTATGTAAGAGATCCACATAAGTCCCCTCTTTGCCTTGTGGGACTGACCATTTAATATTTAGGGCACTGACAGTTTTTAAGAAAGGAACTTGTTCCTGAAAATACTGGAAACATTTTTTGTTGCCATTGGTTGTGAACCCCACCTCTGAAAAATAATATTTTTTTAAATTAATTGATCAGAGGAAGAATTTGCGTGTCCCCCCCCCCCCCCCAACACAAATTAGTGAGTGAGTTGGGGTTAACGCCGCTTTTAACAGTATTCCAGTCATATCACGGCGTGTCAGCTTAATGTGGGAGGAAAGCCCCAAGTGATGCAGGTCTTCGACGTTTACCACTTTGGTGAAACCCACCAGCACGGGTATGGTGCTGACAAACCTAGAAACATAATCGGGGCGAACCGGGATTCGAACCCACAATCATAGATTTCTGGCGTGCCCAAGGGACGCAACTCTGCACAGCGAATCGCGGTGCCTTAGACGACTGGGCCAACCGTGCCCCCCAAACACAAATTAAGTCCTATTACTTTGGTGCCAAGGGTGCTTATTGGATTACAGTATATACATACTTGAGTACACTTTTTTGCTTTCAACTTAGAAGCTTCACATACTCACATGTTCCTGACCACCCCGATAGAGGATTAGTCTAGGAATACAAGTCATTCTTAACATGAAGAACCGGGTAAAAGGGTAAGATCTAATTCTAAGACAAATCTACCGGTTAACAAAGCTTGAGTGAGCAAGAGCAACAGTTTACAAAAAAATTGTTTCGCCATTGAAACTGTCCGTCAAATCCTGACAATCTGCTGTTCACTTCTGTGGGTATCATGGACATCACTAGAAGAATGCCAGATCAAACGAGGAGCATGTTCGGTGACAGTGACTTCTGATGTTGCCGATAAACAGTATCAGGGGGGCTCTCAATTAGGCCCCACATGGCAAACTGCACACTATCTCTATCAATCTAGGGGAGAAATCTCTCAAGTTACAAATGTCCGTCAAATCACACACAAGTACCCCTTTGAAGTAATTAAATCACAAGCCATGTAATACCTAGACTTTTCCTTATGCAGACAAAAGAACAGTTTTGTACAGCTATCTGCATTTTTTCTTTCAGAGCATCATGAGGTTGCCATGCGGAGGGTGCAATGATATCATTGGGATATCAGGCATGTCATGTCACATTGTTGTCAGTGGTATCAGTCAGTCTCATCCCCTGTTTGATGTGGCTCAGTCGATTAACCATGAAACAGAATCCCCCACCCCGAATGCCAGGCCCGACCCCCTGCAGGCACAGGGCATGAGGGGACCATATGAACCTCCAGCTCTGCTTGTCAAGGAACTCAGTTGCTCCAAGGGGCGACTCGGTGACTCCAAACTTAACATGCTTGAAGAAGTCAAATTTACCAGAGTTGTACCCCAAGCCAATGTCCAATACAGCCCATGCAAGTCTATAATGTTTGGCAAGTCTAGATTCCTGCAGTATCTGAAAATGGAGAGTCTCAGGGCTCCTTTTTATTACATTTTTATGAAGATAATTTAACTGTTTTTTCTTTATGTAAGGTATGTTCATTTCAGAGACTAGATGTTAATCTACCTCAAACCACTTCCCTTCAAACCACTTATAAACTATACTCCAACCATTAGGACGTCTTTCTTAAATCACTAAGTTTACATACATACTGAAACACAGTAAAAATATTTTAAAAATGTCAAAATGTGTATCTTTTAAGTGATCAAATGAAATAATTATTTGCTGAGTGAAAGAAAAAGGATCATGCTGGATATTCTAAAATTATTTTGTTTTGAGTACCTAATTGTTCAGCTCCTCTTTTCATAGATAAAAAAAGTAAACAACACAAAAGAAGTTAATGAACACATTTTCAAATGACTACAGTTAATCTGTCATGTCAAGATTCCGGGGGAAAAACAACTGGTTCCTGTAGATTTTCAAAAATTGTTCACCTCCTCTTTTCATAGAGAAAAAAGTACCGATATACAAGACAAAAGAAGTTAATAAACACGTTTTCAAATGACTACAGTTAATCTATCATGTCCGTGGGAAAAACAACTGGTTCCTGTAGATTTTCAGCAGTCTCGGACAAACAGACCAGTGGCCTGTACAACCACTTGCACCTATCTGCAACTGTCTTCACCTGAATACAACTGTGCCAACATTGCTTTGTAAGGCCACTCAACTTTCGTACTTCTCAACAAGGCCAGAGAGCTGTTTTTCAGGTAATATTTATGTGCTGAAATGTTCCTGATACCATCTTTCTCAGGTTCTAAGTTCATCAGTGATCACTAGGTGTCAGAATTGCTGAATTTTACACAAAAAGGTTTTCAGACTGTAATGTAACTTGTAATCCTATTAAATTATTTTTCCCAGTTAAATCTCGAGCCATCTACTTATCCAGCACCACTGAAGACAGGTGAAGTTTGGACCTCAGTAAGAGCTTACTATCTCACAATCAACATTAGCGTCTATCTATTTCCCTTTCTGCATGAATCATTACTCATGCAAAATCTTGCCATAAAGCACACTTATCCCACCTCACGATCATTATAGAAACACAATTTATCTGAATTTATTTCAACATATAGGTGCAAATCATCTCACCAGGAATGCATGGAAGATAAAATCTTTGGATGAAATAAATTCCTCAAGAAGATAAAGATGAACAAATCAATTAAAACTGTGATAGACAAAGTGAGAAGAGATAGATAGGCTAGTGTTAAACCAGACTGCGACCTCGGCATCTACAGCGAAGCTCCTATTTCAGTATCATCGTAAAACTTATAGTGTCATAACTGTGGAATTCTGATAATGGAATTATGCAGTTATGCCATATCTTGTATTTCCTATTCCATAATTTTGCAACTGGTACATTTGTAAAGCTTCCAAGAAATATTTGTATCAAGTGAGCAGATAGGGGTATATTTTCATCAAAAACCAATTCAAGTTAAATAGATGTTTTACAGCAACAAACAACTGAAATATAATAACTGTTCTGTTATTGAACATATGTCTTGAGAGCCTTGGTGCATGTCCAGGTTGCAATCATTGACCAAACCAGGCGGATGCAGGAATTAAATAACAAAAAGAAAAAGAAAAAAAGAAAAGAAAAAGAAACTGGATGGGGACAATCTCTGCCTGGGGTTTATTTGATTTTCAAAGGGGCAGTGTGGGTCTGGGGTCTGGGGTCTGAACTCCTCTGCAAGCGTCCCCCCCCCCCCCCCCCCCCACACACACACACGCACGCATAAAAAATATATTATAAATACATATACACCCAGGATTCATAGTGTTCATCTTGCAACTGGTTAAATAATGAATATAACAAGAAGATGATCTGGCCTCTAAGCTCTAACATGTTCAATCATGTCACATTTTCCTGCAAAATGGCTTAGAAACATTAAAAATAGATAATAAGTAGAATACAGATGAATAAATAAATTGCAAGTTATTCCATGCCATTTGATTAGCTAACCTAACAATTATTTTTGTGTTCGTTTAAGCTTCCCTAAACCAAATGAATAACTACAGCTGCACTTATGAGCAGACTACTATAGAGATTTACACGGTGTGGTCATCAATTTAATAGTTATAAGCACAAAAAATATGGAAATCTATTCTTAAATAGTGTGTCTTGCATTAGCCTTGCTCCAAGGCTGTACTGAAAGAAAAATCCATGGATGTTCCGTTTTTTCTGTCCTAGGCAAGTCTAGATATGTATACAGTCTAAGGACTTGTCTCTTATAGTGACAACTTGTTCGTATTATTTACATAATCTAGAACTTATGATTTAAACTAACAATTATTGCCTTAGAGACTTGTGCAAGTCTAGTCTTGTTTATAGAAGTCCCAATGGTCGATGTTGGTTCTTTCCATAGGGACTGCCAACAGCTGGCACTTTCTCTAACTGAACAACTGATGGGCACAGCCCCCAGAGAATAGACAAGGCAGCTGTCAGTCTCCTTCTGCTTGATTCAGTCCCCCCAAGAGGTCATTGTCATCCAAGAACTCGCTACAACCAGCAAAAAGTTAGTTTTCGAATCTCCAAATGCTACATTTATCACTCACAAAAGAATTTAAATGGATAATGACAGTGAAGGGCTCTTTTAAGGTTTGGGGCTTGTGGAGTAATGATCCATACAGACCTTCTGTTAAAACTGGG